CGGGCCCGGGCTGGGGATTCGAACCCACCACCTTAGGTGTATGTGGCTGGTGCCTTAGCCGCTTGAGCCATAGGCGCCGAGCCTCTAATTTTTTCTTTTAAGTAGAGATGGGCTTTTGCTAGTCTCAAATTCCTCACCTCAAAGGATCCTCCGATCTCAGCCTCCCAGAGTGCTAGGTTTATAGGCTAGACACAGGGGTCCTCAAACTTTTTAAACAGGGGGCCAGTTCACTGTCCCTCAGACTGTTGGAGGGCCGGACTGTGGGCCCCAGGATGAGTCGGCTGCTAAGCAGGACAGGCAGCAGCAGCAAAAACACCTGGGTGGGCCATAGTTTGATGATGCCTGGTAGAGTTACTGTGCCTAGTAACTGATGATATAAAGTACTTTATTGCTGTAATTACCATAAAACATAATCTTTTTTTGAAGACAGTCTCACTCTGCCGCCCTTGGTAGAGTGCCCTGGAATCACAGCTCATAGCAAGCTTAAACTCCTGGGCTCAAGTGATCCTCTTGTGTCAGCCTCTCAAGAGCTAGGACCACAGGTACCCACCAGAACGCTTGGCTAGTTTTTCTATTTTTAGTAGAGATGGGGCCTTGCTCTTGCTCAGGCTGGCCTTGAACTTCTGAGCTCAAGCAATCCACTTGCCTCAGCCTCCCAAAGTGCTAGGATTATAGGCATGAGCCACCACACCTACTTTTAAAAATTTTTTTACAGCAATGGGATCTCACTGTGTCGTCCAGGCTGGTCTTGACTCTTGGCCTCCCAAAATGCTGGAATTACAGGTATGAACCACTACACCTGGCCCAAGTACCGTTTTTCAAAAATCTGTTTATTTCCAGTGCCTAACATAATACCTATTCCATAATGGACTTTAATAAATACTAGGATGAATACATGAATGTGTTGGAGGAAAGAAAAGGCAAGTGTCACAAATTTAATAGATAATTCTAGATATAAAGGGACAAGGGGAATATGTGTTTGAATAAAATATTGAATATCCCAGTTATAATCAGCATAACAAGAAGTCACAGATGGACAATTCAAAGATAAATTTATGGCTCGGCACCCGTGGCTCAAGTGGCTAAGGCGCCAGCCACATACACCTAAGGTGGCAGGTTCAAATCCAGCCCGGGCCCACCAAACAATGACAGCTGCAACCAAAAAATAGCCAGGCGTTGTGGCAGGTGCCTGTGGTCCCAGCTACTTGGGAGGAGGAGGCAGGAGACTTGCTTGAGCCCAGGAGTTGAAGGTTGCTGTGAGTTGTGATGCCACAGCACTCTACCCAGGGGGATAGCTTGAGGCTCTGTCTCAAAAAAAAAAAAAAAAAACAAAGATAAATTTATGCTGCATGAATAAATGGGTTTGAGTACTAAAAAAAAAATCATTTTAAAAGAGGTCACTATGATTTTTGACCACTCCACAATTTTGCAATACATCAGCACTTTTTCCTTGGAGCCATTCCAACCAGAAAGTGTCTCTTTAGCCAGAATCTGGGACTCACAATGGGAACTTTCTTATTGCTCCAGAGATCCTCTCTTCTTCTCATCTTCTTTTGAAGAGGGATTTTTAGAGGGTAAGACTTGCAGTTGAGTGTACTTTGGCAAACATTTCAACTCTACAGACCTAGCAGGAACTAGGGTAGAGTCCGTGCCAAAGGAAATCAGGACAATGCTTAGAGCTGCCACTGGTCAAATTTTAAAGCAGAGGGTGATTACATCGTCTAACCTTGTTTAGCAGACAACAGATAAATAAAGTAGGTGAGGATCAAGAAGCTTGCATTTGGGGTAACATTTCCTAAGAAACCAAGAGTGGTGATAGGAAGCTGGAAAGGATTTTGCTCCAGCTACGTGAGGAAACTACACCCTCGAGTAGTTGACAATTATTCCCTTTCTCTATCAATAAAGTTTATCACTTACAGCTAAAACTGAACATTATTAATACTCCAGCCTTTCTTAGGTTCATAATTAGACAGATTACAGTTAAAAAAGAAAACAAAATGCTAAAATCTAAGCAAAGAAGGCAATTTCTCCTTACAGTTTAACATCATAAAACATCAACCAATTTTAAAAGAACTTTTACCATCAATTTTTATAGTTAGTGGATACAAATCATTGAAAGAAAACTCCATGACTAGGTGTGGTTTCTCACATCTGTAACCCTAGTACTCTGGGAGGCCAAAGCAGGTGGATTGCTTGAGCACAAGAGTTTGAGACCAGCCTGAGCAAGACCGAGACCCTGTCTCTACTAAACATAGAAAAATTAGCAGGATGCAGTGGTGCACGCCTACAGGCAAGTGGATCACTTGAGCTCAGGAGTTCAAGACCAGCCTGAGCCAAGAGTGAGACCCTATCTCCACTAAAAGTAGAAAAACTATGAGGCATTGTGGCAGGCGCCTATAGTCCCAGCTACTTGGGAAGATGCAGTAACAGAATCACTTGAGCCCAAGAGTTTTAGGTTGCTGTGAGCTATAATGCCACCCCACTCTACCCAGGGTGACCAAGAAAGACTCTGTCTGAAAAAAAGGAAAGAAAAAGAAACAAAGAAACAAAACTCCATATTCAGCAAATATTAACAACTTCAATAATTACTTTTCCTGATTATTGATCAAGCCTCCAGATCTCTGGCATATAAACTGACTGCACAATTATTTCACATTACATGGATATCCCAATGCAACAAATACTAGGAATTGTGGATTAATGTATCTTTAACTTACCCATATTTGTAAGTCCCTTGAACTTGAGAAATATTCAGATTACTGCTCAAGTTTCTTGCAAGAGCCGTTGGGATAACAGAGATGGGCTTCACAGGTGTACACCTAAAGTTATTTGCTAGAGTCACTGCTGCCCAATGGAAGTCAAAATCCACATTGTCCAAACTCTCTCTGCAAGTGAAATGAGCTCTTATGGAAAGCAGGTTACCACAGTCCAAGGAATCTTTGCTACATACATGGTGCTGCAGAGCCTGAGGAATCAATATCAAACAATTATTTTAAAACTTTGAAATATCTCTAAGGTTAAATTTATACTATTGCATATGCACATATAATATCTTACACTAACAAAAATAAATTAGTTCTGATTTATAACATTTTAGTTCTCATTTTGTCCATGTGACCAAAAATCTATGTGAACAATTATATCAAAGCAAATAAGATTTACTGTCCCAAGCTCCATGACACATTTCCAACCTAGATGTCTTAGCAGCACTTCAAATTTTTTTTGAGCAGGATCTCATTGTCTTCTGGGCTGAAGTGCAGTGGCATCATCAGTCTCCTGAGTAGTTAGGACTATAGGCATATACCACCATGCCTGGGTAATTTTTCCATTTTTTTGTAGAGACGAGATCTTAGGCTATGCATTTCAAATTCTTATGGGGGAATGTCACCCCCAATAGATAGTTGCGACATGGGAAAAAATTCTGACTCAGCCCAGGAGAATTTAAAGTCCATTCCCTTTTGATTCCTTTCTTGTAACCCCCAATTATTAAACTGGTTCTTCCTCTGTATTTGCTTGTGCCCACTGTGTCCTTATAGCTACCACTCTACTATAAGCTAATACCTATATATCCTTTTTTCATCCACACTCAACTATTGCAATAGCTACCTTCTCTGACTCCAGACAGCTTACCCTTTCAGATTAACTATATCTGATTGAACAGAATTTCCTCTTTTAAGAAACCTTTAATGGGCTCAGCGCTTGTAGCTCAAGTGGCTAAGGCACCAGCCACATACCCCAGAGCTGGTAGGTTTGAATCCACCCTGGACCTGCCAAACAACGATAACTACAACCAAAAAATAGCCAGGTATTGTGGCGGGTGTCTGTGGTCCCAGCTACTTGGGAGGCTGAGGCAAGAGAATCACTTAATTTAAGCCCAGGAGTTGGAGGTTGCTGTAAGCTGTGATGCCACGACACTGTACTCAGGGCAATAGCTTGAGAATCTCAAAAGAAAAAAAAGAAAAAGAAAAAGAAACCTTTAATGGCTACATGTCCCATATGACAAAGTTGAAGTTCCTTAGCCTGGCAGACAAGGCTCTCTATAATCTGGCCAAACTAATATACCAGTTTGACTGACCAAATCCAGCAAAAGTAATATACCAGTTTGACTGACCAAATCCAGCAAAAATTTACAACCTTCAGATTACCCTCAGCACATTTTGAACTTTCCTATCTTGGTCACACTGCATCTTCTTCTGGAATTCTACCCACATCATTTACCTAGGATTTCTGCCCTCACAGACAGATTTGACTAGATTTTTGACAACCACATTTGACTAGATTTTAGGTCCATGACAATTCAGTAAGAAATCATGATGAATACTTCCCCAAGCCTAGGAGTGGTGGCTCACTCCTGTAATCCTAGTACTCTGGAAGGCCAAAGCAGGTGAACTGCCTGAGATCACAGGTTTCAGACCAACTTGAGCAAGAGTGAGACTCCCATCTCTAAAAATAGCCAGGCTTCATGGCCAGCACCTATAGTCCCAGCTCCTTGGGAGGCTGAGGCAAGAGGATTACTTGAGCCCAAGAGTTTGAGAGCCATAGCACTCTACTGAGGACAAAAGTGAGACTCTGTCTCAAAAAAAAAAAAAGAAAAAAAATATTAAAAAAAAATATACATATAAATGAATACTTCCCAAATACAGCTTCATTAAAATACAGCATATTAAACATAGCTTGATTCTTGGGTTGAATTAAAAATAGTCAATGAATCTTACCTTAAAAGTTGAGCTGAAGTCATCTGGATTATAAACTATCACTTCCCTTGAACAAAGTCCCTGAGTTTGAATTTTGCATGGAATCAAAAAGTCCCCAGGAAGAAGAGCAGTAGGGCTTAATTCTAAGGATTCAGGTACTTCTCGACCAGGGTCAAAACGATCTACTGTCAATGTCACACCTTCTTCATCTGAAGAACATCATATAGTATGTAAATTAAAAACATGAAATCAAGCAAAACTACATCACAGCAAAGTACTATGTCCATACCAAAGTACAGCAAATTCTTTCTTTAAAAAATGACTTGCTTGCAGGTTCTTTCACCTGACTAGATTGTTAAATCTGTAATGGATGGTTTTATTCATCTTTATATCCTTGTTGAATAGCAAATAAAATTAGCACAAAGCACATGCGATAGTTGGTTGAATCAATAAATATAAATTCTAGGCTCGGCGCCTGTGGCTCAAGCGGCTAAGGCGCCAGCCACATACAACTAAGGTGGCGGGTTCAAATCCCCAGCCTGGGCCCGCCAAACAACGACGGCTGCAACCAAAAAATGGCTGGGCGTTGTGGCGGGTACCTATAGTCCCAGCTACTTGGGAGGTGAGGCAGGAAACTCGCTTGAGCCCAGGAGTTGGAGGTTGCTGTGAGCTGTGTTGCCACGGCATTCTACCCAGGGGAATAGCTTGAGGCTCTAGCTCAAAAAAAATATATATATATACATATATATACATATATATATAAATTCTATTACATCATACAATTTTTTTTTTTTTTTGAGACAGAGCCTCAAGCTGTCGCCCTGGGTAGAGTGCCGTGGCATCACAGCTCACAGCACCTCCAACTCCTGGGCTCAAGCGATTCTCCTGCCTCTTCCTCTCAAGTAACTGGGACTACAGGCACCCGCCACAATGCCCGGCTATTTTTTGGTTGCAGCCATCATTGTTGCTTGCAGGCCTGGGCTGGATTCAAACCTGACAACTCAGGTGTATGTGGCTGTTGCCTTAGCCACTTGAGCCACAGGCGCCAAGCCCATACAAATAATGTTTTAAAGTATATTACCTTCATCCACTGTGAGAGAACCAAGTAAAAAGCATGCCCAATTTTTTTTATTCTGCTTAGCATGGCGATAAGCAAGTCGAATGGTCTTTTCAGTCACCACAAGCTTTGGATTTCTGAAAAAATAAAAATATATTTCACAAGGTGATGGATATATCCTAAAAAACCTTCCTGCCATAAAATGCTGCCTAAAATATAACACATAACTTTTAAAATATCACTGTCAAGAAATCTCAGGGTCGAAGGCAGGAGGAAAGGAGGTCCACTTGGAAACCAGAAGAACAAAAAGCAGACATTGAAGCTATAGTTGTTCTCCAAGCACTTACTTCGCTTTAGGCCGGTATCAAGTTTTCGTAAATAAAGTATGATTCAAATAGTCACATCCATTTGTTTATATATGGTCTATGGACTTTAAATATTAATAGCATAGTAGGTAAGTTTATAACATTAAACTTTCTGTGCCTACATCAGAAAAGAAAAACTTCAAAGAAACAACCTAATGATGTGTCTCAAAGGACTAGAAAAGAGGAAACCAAATCCCAAATTAGAAGAAATAATAAAGGTCAGAGCAGAAATAAATGAAATTAAAACTAAAAAACAATATAAAACATCAACAAAATGAAAGTTCCCTGAAAATGTAGATAAAATCAACAAATCTTTAGTCAAACTAAGAAAAAAGTGAGACCAAAATAAATAAAATCAGAGATGAAAAAGAAGACATTGCAACTGATATTAAGAAATCCAAAAGATCGTTAGAGACTATGAGCAACTGTTATACATAAGCCAATAAAATGGAAAAGCTAGAAGAAATGGATAATTCCTAGATACATACAACTTACCAAGATTGAACCAGGAAGAAATTTATAACCTGAATAAACGAGTAAGTAATAAGACAGAAGCAGTAATAAAAAGTCTCACAGCGAAGAAAGCCCAGGTCCTGAAGGCTTCACTGATGAATTCTACCAACATTTAAGGAAGAACTAATACCAACCCAACTTACCCCATTCTAGAAAATTGAGGAGGGAATACACCTAAACTCATTCAATGAGGTCTATATAACCCTGATACCAAAACCAGACAAAGACACAACAAAAAAAAACTACAGGCCAATATCTCCGATGAACAGATGCAAAAATCTTTAACGAACTGAATTTAACAAAAAATTAAAAAGATTTTTCATCATGATCAAGTAGGATTCACCCCAGGGATGCAAGGATGTTTCAACATGAGAAAACCAATCAATGTGTTACATCGTATCGACAGAATGAAGGACAAAAACTATTATTATTTCAATTGATGCTACAACAACATGAGATAAAATTCAACATCCCTTCATTATAAAAACTCTCAAGTTACTGGGTACAGAAGGAACTTATGTCAACAGATAAAAGCCATATATGACAGATCCATAGCTAAAATCATAATGAATGGGGAAAACTGAAACCCTTTCCTGTAAAATCTAGAGAATGACAGGATATTCACTTTTGTCACTGTTACTTAAGAGGGTACTAGAAGTTCTAGCTAGAGCAATCAGACAAGAGAAAGAAAGAGCATCCAAACTAGAAAGGAGGAAGTCAAATTATCCTTGTTTGCAGACGATATGATCTTACATCTAGAGCAGTGATTTCAAATAAACAACCTAATGATGCGTCTCAAAGAACTAGAAAAGAGCAACCCAGACCCCAAATTAGAGGAAATATGGTATGCTGTGGCACATTGGTATGTGGTGAGAGAATCTTAGGTGTGCTGCAAAAATTTTTAAAGATCATTAAATTATTTTCAAAAGAAGTTTAAAGCACAATAAGTGCATACAACTTACTCTTCTTTTATCAACATAATTTAAGTGTGCCACAGAAAGACTGCACCAAAAAGAAATATATATATATACACACACACACTCACATATATATATCAGAACTGATAAAACATATTCAGTAACGTTGCAGGATATAAAACCAACATACCAAAATAGCAGCATTTCTACATGCCAACAGTAAATAATCTGGAGGAAAGGAAAAAAAAACTAAGAAAGAAATCCTATTTACAATAGCTACAAATAAATAAAATAAAATAAATTTAAATAAATAAAATAAAATACCCAGGAATAATTTAACTGAAGAAATAAAAGATCTCCATTACGAAAACCATAATACATTGATGAAATTGAAGAGAACACAAAAAAATGGAAAGATCTATCAAATGCTCATGGATTGGAAAACTCTCTTACAGCCTAATGAGAGGCACAGCCAGGTGGATACCTGAGAGATCTTAAACCCCCACCTCTTTTTTGTCTGCGTCACAGGGATGGGTCCTGTGCCTGCTAAGGAAACTTCTCTGAGGTTAATTGTTCAAAATAAAAAAATGGGGGGGCCCCACAGTGGTTAATGCCTGTAATCCTACCTAGCACTCTGGGAGGCCAAGGTGAGTGGACTGCTTGAGCTCACAAGTTTGAGACCAGTCTGAGCCAGAGCAAGACCTCATCTCTAAAATAGCTGGGCACTGTGGTGGGCACCTATAGTCCCAGCTACTTGGGAGGCTGAGGCAAGAGAATCACCTGAGCCCAAGAGTTTGAGGGTGCTGTGAGCTATGATGCCACAGCACTCTACCCAGGGTAACAAACTAAGACTCTGTCTCAAAAACAAACAAACAAACAAAAAACTTCTTTTCTTTCAAGTTCCTGGACATAACCATGATATCCTATATTCCCCCTAATCTGATTCACTACAAAGATACGATGCTGATACACAATGAAAAACACTTTCAGTTTTTACAATATTTTGCCTCTATTGAATTGCTATAGTACTCAGAACTTTAGATTTGCAGAATTTTTTTTTTTTTTTTTTGAGACAGAGCCTCAAGCTGTTCCCCTGGGTAGAGTGCCATGGCTTCATTGCTCACAGCAACCTCCAACTCCTGGGCTCTAGCGAGTCTCCTGTCTCAGCCTCCCAAGTAGCTGGGACCACAGGCACCTGCCACAATGCCCAGCTACTTTTTGGCTGCAGCCGTCATTGTTGTTTGGCGGGTCGGGGCTGGATTCAAACCCACCACCTTAGGTGTATGTGGCTGGCGCCTTAGCCACTTGAGCCACAGGCGCCAAGCCGATTTGCAGAATATTTTAACTGTGAAATTAAGATTATTTCTCAAAAGCATAAAGGACAGATTTAAGAAGAAGCAGAGGTATATTTTTTTAGAGGAAGCAGAAGGAGTATTTTGTCTGGAGGGAGCTACTGCATGAAAAGGAAAGAAAAATGAATATTGGTCATAGTAATCAACTTTGCCCTATACAGCCTTTTATCACTCCTGCTTATGTAGGTTTGATTTGAAAAAAGAAACATCTTGTACCTGTAGTAATTGAGATGTAAGTAGATGAAATCTCCAATGGGCACTGGGTTCCAAAGTGCACACTTTGATGGAGGAAAGTGGAAAGGTACCATCTTGCTTGCAGGAAACCTTTCAAAAACATAATTTAAAATTAAAGCACAAGGAATAGTAAACTTGGTAGAAATGTTGCAAAAACAACTCTCTTAAATTACAGTACTTTTCAGAATATTTTTATAATTTTCAAAGTGTCAAAAGATCTTTAAAAAGAAAACTCATTTATCATTCTACTATCACGTACTCAAAATTTGGGTATGGCTTTTTTGTCTTTTTTCCCTATGTCTATGTAAATTCATGTACACAAGCTTTAAACAAAACTGGATAATCAATCCTATAAATTCGACTTTAAGTGACAGAAAAACAGTATACATCATAAATTTCCATTTAAATTTAAAATTAAAATCTTTCTGCACTAATTTCCAGACAACTGCTGAAAACACACAATAATTGGGAAAAACACAATAACTTAATAGATCTTATTTCCCAGTTTTTCTTTGGTATTTGGGGCCCTACTGTAGAAGTTTAATTATTGAAGCATCAAAAGGATATTATTATAAATAATTATTCAACAAAGATCCCAATGGCCATGTAAGGCAAGCTTTCAATGTTAAATCATACCAGGTAACAACCATAAAGTTTTTATTTTACATAAGAGTATAACACTAGCAAACTGCGATAAGAAAAAGACAATGGACAGAAAAGATCAGAGAGAAAATATCCAAGGTCACATGTAATTAAAGCAAAAAAACTCTTACAGTGAGCCACCTATAGCAGTGCATTTGCATAATAGTAGACGACCATGTTTCCCCGAAAATAAGACACTGTCTTATATTTATTTTTTCTCAAGAAGACACACTAGGGCTTATTTTTAGGGGATGTCTTATTTTTAAGTATAATACAACAATCTACATTTATTCAAATACAGTTAAGTCATCTTCTTCTGGAACCTGACAGGGGGAGCCAATCTTGTTGGTGGGGCTGGCACTAGTGATGCATGAACTCCTTTCCCCTAGCCATTTGCACGTATCCAACAGGATGCCTGCAACTGTGGTTACCACATGCTGCACCCGGGGATAAAGGAGCTGTGGCAGATAAAAGGTATGCTAGACCTCCAGTCTTCCTTACCACTTGGCGCCAAAATGCATGGCATGGCTATGCAGATACGCTGCACAGCCATACCCATCACTAAGTCTTATTATTGGGGTAGGGCTTATATTTAACAAATGCATAGAAATCCTGCTAGGGCCTATTTTTTGGGTAGGTCTTATTTTCAGGGAAACACGGTATTAAATAGTTAAACTGAAAGAATATTTATCATATACTAAGAATACTTTATCTTATTTTCATGCATCATCTGAAGAAGCTTCTCATCTAAACTATCAGCCTGCCAGGTACTAGACACCCTACTGGGCACTTTATACAGAGTAGACATAAAGTTCATGAGCAACTTAAATTAGTTTACTTTTTCTTTTCTTTTGAGACAGAGTCTCACTATATTGCCCTTGGTAGAGTGCTGTGACATCACACCTTATAGCAACTTCAAACTCTTGGGCTTAAGAGATTCTCTTGCCTCAGCTTCCCAAGTAGCTGGGACTACAGGCGCCCACCACAAAGCCCAGCTATTTTTTGGTTGTAGTTGTCATTGTTGTTAGGCAGCCAGGGCCAGGTTCAAACCTGCCAGCCCCACCCTGCCCTTATATGTGGCTGGTGCCCTAGCTGCTGAGCTACAGGCACCTAGTCAGCTTACTTTTTTTTCTTTAATTTTTTAATTTCAGGTTAATGTTGAGTGTACAAACGACCAAATTACAATACTTGAATTTGTCAGGTAAAGTTCCTCTAATTTGCTATTTGAAGTGCACATGGACTTCATGTCCATCCTGTATTCACAGTATTCTTACTAAAACATTCCAGAACATTTTATTATCCATTTTATTGATAACTATAAGTTCCCTAACTTCACACAGCAATTAAACAGCAGAGCTGAGATACCAATCCAAGTGATTCTGGTTTCAAAACTCCTATTTCAGCTTAGTGCCTTTAGGGCAAGCAGCTAAGGCGCCAGCCACATACACCAGAGCTGGTGGGTTCAAATCCAGCCGAGACCTGCCAAACAACAACAACTGCAACCAAAGTAGCCAGGTGTTGTGGCGGGCACCTGTAGCCCCAGCTACTTGGGAGGCTGAGGCAAGAGAATCACTTAAGACCAGGAGTTGGAGGTTGCTGTGAGCTGTGATGCCACAGCACTATGCCCAGAAAGACAGTTTAAGGCTCTGTCTCAAAACAACAACAATGACAACAACAACAAAACTATTTCTAGAAACTGAATTGTGTAGTAGTTTAGAGCTTGGGTTCATATTCTGGCTCTACCACATTCCTGCTGTGTATTTTAAAATCCTTACCTAATTTGAGCTCACAATATCTATATGAAGGATTTTCAAACCTCCTTTGATGAGACAAGGACAATATGAGATTAAGAAATGTGTTCAAAGTTACAAAGGCATAAGTGACAAAATTGCCAGTTTTTCTGTCCCTCATATCTATCATTACCTACTAGTAAGACTAGTAAGAGATAGTACAACATGGGGGTTGAAAGAAAGGAGCTTGGAAA